TGCCGCCGCACTGGGGCTCGCAGAGACGGGCTCGTGGCGCAGCTTCAGACCACCGCAAAGAGACGAAGGGAGCTCCCCGCAGCACCCGTCCCTCCTTTAATGCTTCCAGCTGAAGGAAGATGGGTTACAAAGAACCAGTGCAAGTAACCTTTCCTCCTCCTAAGGAAAATTCGAGGCCAACCGCTCCTTACTGCCATCTCTCTAACACGGGGCAATGGCACAGGCTGGGCGGCTTTCTCAGGAAAGCGGTTTGGTCTGGTCCATGGCATTTAGTGAAAGGCAGGAAGGGCTTTTGCAAAAAGCCACTCCATCACCTGCGCCCACACAAACAGCAACAGCCACAGAGCAGCTCAGGGGCGGGTGTGCACGGGGGGGCCGAGAACACCCCATGGACCCCCACTGCGGGCTGCACGGGGACACAGAGCTGCAGCCCCCCCACTCACTTGCTGCACACTGGGCCCACCACAGCACGTGTGGCCTTGCCGCTGGGATCCAAGAGCCACGATGAGGGGGCACGGGGGTGCCGAGAACACCCCATGGACCCCCACTGCGGGCTGCACGGGGACACAGAGCTGCAGCCCCCCCACTCACTTGCTGCACACTGGGCCCACCACAGCACGTGTGGCCTTGCCGCTGGGATCCAAGAGCCACGATGAGGGGGCAGCCCTGGAGCACCACGGCATGGTCTCTGGCCAGGGCCATGCCCCAGCGCAGAGCCCAGGGCTGGGCACAGCTCTCCCCGTTCCCCGGCGCTCCCCTGCTGCCTGGGTGCTGGGGCTCACCGGCTTGCTTTCCAGCCCATCCAAAAGAGCCGTCTCCACACGGAGCACTACCAAAACGTTTATTGAGAAGAGCGTGGGGTGGCCACGCTCCCCCAGACCCCTCTGCAGCTGGTCACACATCTGGGAGAGGATTGCAGCCTCGGCGAAGGAGCAGCCCGCCTCTGCCCACCCGATGGGCGCTCGCACTGCCAAGCCAGGGCCCTCCCGTAGCACCTTGCGTGCCTCAAAGCATCTGCAGGGAGATGCGGGCACTTCGTTCCTCGGGGGAAACGTGTCCCCGCTCCGGCGTGGCTGCGGAGGTAAGGCTGGCTACGCCGTCCCTGCGTGCTCAGCTGCAGAGGCAGGAGGAAGCAATCCGGCACAGTGACCGACAAACAGCGGGGAGATCCGGGGGCTGGCTCACG